GAGCGGCCCGAGTATGAAACTCCGCGCACAATACTCCAAAGACCGAATGCAGTGTTGATCCAGCGTCGGGAAGTCAAGGCGAGCCAGGATCAAGTTATTCCTGACTGCCCACCCTCGGACGAGTCGCCGCCGGACAAGTCGCCGTCGGAGAGGCGACCGTTGGACCTATCGTCGGTCGCGAGTGAAGAGTCGCCATTGGATCTATCGTCTATCGCAGACGAAGACTCTATATCGCATGCCGTAACGGTCAGGGAGGCGCTGGAAGATTGCAAGCAAGAGATATTGGGTACATGGACGACGGATCCGCTGGTGGAGAAAACCACGGACATGGAAGGATTGCGAGAAGAAGACAGCCGAGGTGATATCGAGGGCGTCAGCCTAGATCAACTACACCCGATGACGCAAGATCAAGGGACACCGCCGTCGGAACGCAGTGGGGCGGATCTGCCATCAATGATGAGTGTATAGCCTGGGACAGGACATGTGACTGGTGATCTGTTGAACGGCAGAGCAGAAAACGGACATGGATCCATCACCTGTTGTGGAAGATCAACCAGACACATCGGATCTGGATCTTACCTGGGACTCAGATCAAGATTATGATGAATGCGTGTATTTCTATGAAGGAAACGATCTATACGCCGAAGATGTCGATAGTCAGATGGCGGTGTTGCTTGAAGTACCTGTGGCGACGGAAGATGTGAAGATCGAAGACATTCAACTATGCGGATCCGACGGTCAAACTCCAGAAGAGGTCGAGCGACTCCGCCAGAAGATCTGGAAATTCCGACACCTCTTGATCGGGAAGGGAAATGCCCTTCCGCCGGCAGCTAGAGGCGTGGTGTGTGATATCGGACGTCAGGGGGGGGGGGCGAGACCCATCGCCCTCAAGTGCCGTAAGTTGCGGATCCAGTTCAGGGAGAAGCTAGCAGACCTGGTCAAGGGTCTATTGTCTGCCAAGATGATCAACTACCATGGGCTTCCCCCATCGTGGTGATTATTAAGAAGAATGGGGTGG